TTGGTTTGGTTTTCTTTGGTTTTGTTTTTTGGTTGCGTCCTTTGGTTTTGTCTTCAATTTTTTTATCTTTTGTCCCTCAACAGTTTCACAATCATGAAATGATGATAACATTGTCACTTCTTTTTTGTCCTTTCATTTCAGAGTGAAGATTTTTCTAATGACAACTTCGTTAGATTTTTAATCTGTTTTTCAGTGCGAAAAGTAAATCCTTATTGTTATTTTGTCTAACAGCTCCAACCTATTTGATAGGTCAAAAGGATATCACATAATTCTGGTGATACAGGGTTCGTACGGTCCTTAAGAGTCCTTAGAGGGTTTTTTTTTTTTAAATCAAATTTTGGTCCTTAAAAAGTCTTTAATTTCAGCCAAAATCAGCAGAAGGCTCTTAATTTTAATCATTTGAAATTTATGCCTGTTTTTACAACTGCCATTTTGAGTGTGAATTAGCATTTTGGAGGTTAAATGGGTGTATGGGTTATAATTTGTTCCTGTTTCTAATACAAATGTTGGGATACTCAAGATTCTGGGCAAAAAGTGAAACATAAGCATTTTGAATTTATTTCAAAATGCTTATGTTTCACTTTTTTTTTTTTTTTTTGATAGTGATCAGCTTATTTTTTCTAATGAAGAGCTCTTCAACAACTTTTCACTTTTGGTGATGTGAATTCTTTTATTGAATGGGTTTAAATTTGGCGACATGTAAACATTTTGGTGATTTTAAGATCAGTTTCTGTAAAAAAATTTTTGTCGGAGATCTGGGAATTTTTCGACGATTTTTTTTAAAACATTTTAACATTGAAAATCATTAAAATAATGATAACATATTGAAAATATATTTAAGAAATAACATTAAAATGAAAAATTTTTATTTTTCGCTGCAATATTATAAAGTGATATTACTTTCCACTTTGGCGACTTATTATACAATATTTTGAATCTGAAAAATAAACAAAGTAATAAAGCACAATTTATGAGCAAAAGCAAAATAACTATGTAATTAATTAAAAATGTCTACTTTTTAATTTTTTCATGGTTAGAGTTTTTCGTATGCTGTTGTCCCAGAATATGCACCATTTTACTGTATAAAATGATTTTACACATTATTCTCCTCCTCCTCCCTCAAAATATTTCTCGCATTTCATTGTTCCAGGATTGGTAGGGTTAATTTTTCTTTAGGATTTCAGGCATTGCAACTTGGAATGTTTAGAAGAACTTGAAGGCAAGATTTATGATTCTAGAATATTCCAGAAAAATGGGATAAAATGAAAAACGTCTTCATGGTATTAACACATAATGGGTGTGTTTTACAGAAAGTTTGTGGTGAATTTCTTACTTTTTGGAGAATTTTTGGAAGAACAATGGAAAAAGAATATTTGCATGTTTTACTTCTGACACTGGAAGTCTTTTTTTAACATGTTTTTCTTTCCTCTATTTTCTCTGCTTTTCGCTAGACAAATGCGTGGAAAATATCAAAAATGCTTGTAATCTTATCACAATGACAGACATTTATAGAAAGGAATTTTTCTATTTATAAAGAAATTGAAAACTGATAATTTAAAAGATTCATCTTATATGTCTCAACTGAAGATACACAGAGTATATGCTAGGCATTTTCCCACCTGATGCAAACTCTGTGGATACTAAGTTCTGCTACCTAGTGCCTTTCTATATTTTGCTCCCAGTGCCTGTCCTAAATTCTAAAAGATTTGCTGTTTCTAGATTTTTTGCTCGGTGGGTCATTAAATTCTAAAAATTTGGTCACACTGGCTTCATAACTGGGCATTACCATGTTATCATTTCATATTTATTCTGAATGTTCATATTACTAAAGAAATTATCAGCTTTTTCAGTGAATTAAGTTTTTAGAATAACAGAAATATTTAATTAAATCCAAAAATTCTAAAATGAAGAAGAAATGTATTGAAGAAAGAAACTGAATACACAAAGAGAAAGAAAATTATTCTTCAAAGATATGTACAGTTATTATATAAATTAACCAATTGTTCATAATTTCAGTCTTTATAACTTCCCTTTTCCTTTTCCTCACCAGACTGCAAAATCAATTAGTAGATAGTTTCTAAACTGAGGTTTTTGGATTGTAAAACAGAACATGTTTCTGGCTTTGGCTTGCACACTGCATTAGTACCTACCAGCTCTGATAATTTGCAATTATTCATTTTTGCATTATTGTTGCATTTGAATTTGTTATGACGATAGAATTGATCAGCTAGCTTAACTTGAAATTAAATTGTCTGCTAGTCCACGTTTTAGTCTGAATTTAACTGTTTCTGTTTAACTACATCACAAGCTGTAGTTTATTTTGTTACCATAAGATCCTGACTTTATGTTCTAAGGTGTTTTTTTTTTTTTTAAGAAATAAGAGGTTTATTTTTTAAATAAGAGGTTTATTTTTTTTTAAAATAAGAGGTTTATTTAAACCTTTATCCTGACTTTGTAAGTTACTTTCAGACATAGTGATAAATGGCTTCGTGTCTGTCAGGGGTTGTGGATGATATTGACAAGTTGGGAGATAAAGCATGCAGAAAATAGTGGGAACATTGTTTTGCATATTGAAACCAATTTCTAATTGTTAGAAAATGTACTTAAAGAGGAGGAAATTGATATAAATTAGCTAAAATGTCTGAAAAGGCTTCAAATTATAAAGATTCATAAATATTTTATTGTTTGTGTGTTGCTGTTACAAAACATAAATATTTTGTGGATTTTAATGTGTAATTATCCTAATATTGTTTAAGAATCAATGTCATAAATTACTGTATTTTAAACTGTGAAATGTCATTAGATTGTGATTTTAATGGTGCCTTTTTAAGAAACATTAAAAAAAAATAAACTTTTATAGTGACCACGTAAATTTATAATAACTAAGAGTATCTAACTACGTAATTTAATTATTTGTTACTTACTGCTCAACCTTAAAATTATATCTGCATATTAAAGTGATTTATTGCTTTTCATTAATCCTTAATACAGTCAAAAGTTGTTAATCTGGACACCCATAATCCGGAATGATCTATAATCCGGACCTCAAAACTAACGCATAAGGCTCAACGTATAATGCAGTCACGTATGCGCATAGGCGTTTACGCGTGTGCGTAATACCTTTATGCATGCGCATATGCATAATACGTTTATGCATGTGCATTTAATGTATGACAGACGGTATAAGCTAAGCTAAAATTATCTAATTATCTATTTCAGTTAATGTTGCAGATTGCGCTGTTCCTTAATCTTTGAATTGGATCCGGCTTATTATTTTTTGCAGACTGTTAGAGCAAAGTAAGCTTGAACTTTCGATTATGTCAAATAGAATTTCTGATATATATTTATTAATATGTAAAGGATCTACAAATCGAAAGTATGTTTCAAAGTTCATTAAACAAAAAGTGGAATTGCTGCAAAAAATGGATAAAGGCATATACTTTGTTTATCTAAAATTTAACGTTTGTTTATCTTTAACGCTGCAGCACAATGAATTGGAAGTTCATCTGTCAGCACTATCCTTATCTTCAGGGCAGATGTTTTTATTTTATTTGGCTTATAATTCCTTACTAAATGTAGTATTTCATCTCGATGTACTCCGTCTTTGATATGATTTAAATCAAATTCCTCGTCATTATAATTCACTTCCGATAGCGAAGAAAGTGACAGAGGTTATCGAAAATGAAAAAATTTCGATTGACAAATTAGTCGGTATTCTCGACACAGCAATTACAGGACTTGAACAGCGGAACTTTGTAACTGAAGAAGAAATTATGTCTGTTTATAGAATTAAAGAGAATGTATTATCACGTAAAAAACGAAGCAACTTAAACAACTTACATTGAAAGAAATGTTTAATAAAGTAAACAAATAAATATTAAGTTTTTTTTTTTTTTTTTTTTTTTTTTTAATTTTGATACCCTTTAGATCATAATTGTTCTTTATTTCATAAATTACAGTTTCATATTTTTAATTTTATAATTTCTGCATGCCATCTTACCAGATTTAAACTGATGATCTATAATCCGTAATCGCCGACGAGTCCGGATTAACGACTTTTGACTGTAGATAAACATTGTCTTAAAAAATATGGCTTGCAACAGGTGCATAAAAGTTATGAATTTGGTTGACATATTAATAGGTTGTTATGGTGCTGTAAAAGGTCACTGAAGATGGGCAAATGCTGTAAGAACTAGTTTTGGTTTCTCAGAATGTAATACCAGATACAGTGGACATATACTGCACTGTGGTGACATACAGTGAGCAGCATTAACCAGATCTTCTGTACACATCAGTTGTTTGGACAGCTGAGACAAAGTGTAATTCATGACTCAATACAATACATTTCAGAAACATTATAAATGTTAGGGCCATGCTATTAGAGTAAGCATTGTTGTCTATGTTTCTACGAGGCTTTTTGAAATGCTACTTTATGGTAGGGCATATCCAAGAGATGTAGGTAGATAGTTCTAAATGAGAGAAGACGTTGTCAGTATATTTGTAGTAGTTCTCACTGTCACATCATCTTCCTAAAAAGGTTCTTAAGTCTGCCACTGCCTTCATAAAAGTTATTCATGCCTTGTTGGCCTAGTAAGTGCAGCAGTGACTGTTTTATCATTCCAAACATCATATCAAATGTTACAGTGTAATCAAGCCACTTCCTTAAAAGTGGTGATACAGCCTTTGCAGTATTCACTGAGTTAGTTGTATGGTTTATCAGATGGTGTGTGAGACTACTACACAAGAGACCTAAATTGGTGAACAGCTTAGCAAATTCCCCGTGTAGGTATTTTGGGATGCATTTTAATCCTGCTGTGCACATTCGTTGTTTATGCATTTTGTATCATTTTCATATCTGGCTAGGAGATATTTGCATATTAATTTTTTTAAATATGAAATGATTTTTAGTGTGCCAATTTTTTTTATGCAGGGTGTATTATATTTCAAAACTTACTGAATAATTAGACTTCTATTACAGATGCATATATGCATTTTTTCAGGTGGTTATAATACTGTAAACACTGCAAGATGTTGGACATATCTTTTGTCATTATTACTGGACAAAATTGTGGATTCTGATATACCAGATCACAAGGTATAGTACATGCATTTTTTAACTTTTGAAATGCATATGTTTCAAAATAGTTTCAGTAATAATTGTTGTGCATTGAATATAAAGAACATTGTTTTTATTATGATATTTATCAATTTTTAGGGCTACTTATTTATTATGAAAGAACAAATAAGCTTCTTCTCTTGATTTCTTCCTGTGCTACATTTTGTTTTGTATTCATCCATATCTCTGTATTTAAAATTATAATGTATTAATTTCTTAATATTACTGATAAATGGAATGTTTACAGAAGTAATCAATATATATACATGAATTCCGTAAAGGTCAGGCCTTTAATTTTGCAGTCACTGGTAGACATATACATTATCTGCCGCTTATTAAAATCACTTCTGTTCCAAATGTATTTGAGTTTATTAACCCTCTGAGCATTATGACCGGCTTTATCCGGTCATCAGAAGTTTTGCTACTTGGCATATATTAGCTTATAATTTAAGATATTTTGCTTTCTTACTTTAATAATGTAAATATCATCTTGATGAATGTACATTTATAAAAATACAGACTAAAATAAATAATTTACAAACTCAACTAATAAGTGCTTTTAAATACCAGTCTTCATGACGGATCTAAAATCCTGCTCCGCTCGGAGGTTTAAACGGCTAAAAATGGTGATTGGTGCATCACAAACCATAAACTTTTTTTTTAAGTAACATAATAACTAAGAAGTACTCCATTAATTATTCTAAAATAATAATTAAAAATTAATGCTAAAATTAAATTATTTATGCAATTTTTTAATTTTTATAAAAATATTTTTATAATTATGTTCTTAATGAAATTTTATCTGTTGCAAACAACTGCTTTATCTGTATTTGTTTCATATTATTCAACAGCAAACTGCTGATGATTGATCAGCATCTTTCAATTAAAGAATTTTTTTTTTTTTTTTTAGAATTTGCAGTGCTTTTCTAGATTTGGTTTAATCAAATCGCTTTTCTCTGTATCACTTCTGCTGTCAGTTTTTCCAGTTATTTTAACATAGTGCTCCATATGTAGTTAGTTTTTACACACATTATCTCAATACTGTAGAATCGGTACTTACTGTCTAGGAATATGATGTTTGTAAACTTACTTCCGATGTGGTTGTCTAGGGGCTTGAAATGACTAATTCGACTTATGAATAACTCGAATATTTAATGAAACATAAATAGTTGCTACAGACTACAAAATGATTACATGTGTAGAAAGATGAATTTACATAAGATGATATATACAGATGAAGAGAGTCGACTGTCTTTTAAATGTAAACATCTTTCAGTCGTGTCATTGTCTTAATGGCGGAATCGTCTGACTTCTATCATCGGAAAAGTAAAAGATTTATTCTCGCAGCTTGTCACGTCATCCGATTATAATGAACGATGCCATCCCACAACTGCCCGTCCATCTTGATGGAATGCGGCCTTGCATTCTCGTAGCACCACCATTTACATCTAGGGATCTAAAAAATAAAATTTAAAAAAAAAAAAAATATTTTTTAGTTACTATTGAGGAAAAAGTCATCTTAAATGGTTTATTTCAGCCATCTTCCCTTATCATCTTAATATCCTCGGAAATAAAGGCATTAGCTCTTCTTAAATGCTCTTTAAGTGTTCGTTCATCTTCAACAGTCTATCTGAATACATGTATTTTACAAACATGTCTTCCTTTGATGTTGTCTGGAACAATTCATCTTCATATTTACGTCTTCTTAGATACCGTCTGGATACGTCTTCTGAATGCGTCTTAGATATCTTTAAGATCCGTCATTCGAATGCGTCTTCTCAAAATCATCTTTAAGCCATCTTCCTTCATGCATTTCATCCTTAGACATCATTTTTAGTCTTCTTAAATTAGTTTACATCTTTAAACAATAGTCCATTAGTCAAATCGGGAGAAACTTGTCTAGTCGGGAAAAACGTCTAAATCAGGAATCATCAAAATTGGTATTTCATTATTAAAGATCGTCTGTCCATGGTTTCAGGTATTCAGCACAGTTACTAGTCTTGAAAGGTCCTTCGGTAAAACCAACCTTCTCCACATTGTATGTGTCATTAGGTTTCACCTTGGTGATTTTGCATGGACCTAAAAACTTGGATTTTAGCTTTATACCTGGCCATAGTGAGTGCGTTTAATAGCTACCATATCATTGATCTTGTATTTACGAGGGAGTTTTTGACTTTGATTGTAAGTCTTTTGATTCTCTTCCTGGATCTTCCGAATCTGCTCTTTCGCCTCTTTACGTAGATTTTCTCTAGACTCGATAAAGTCCTTCTGGATTTTAGCTTCTATTAGTTCTTTAATCTTCCTGTCTTTATTCGTCTTTATCTTCGTACCAAACAAAAGCTCGAAAGGTGTCGAATTGATACTCCTCTGAAAAGTCAAATTAATTATTTGCTGGACATCATTTACGTGTTTGTATCATTTCGTAGGGTCATCTATAGCCAGCTTAGAAATGACTGACATGATAGTGGAATTCAACTGCTGTACTTGTCCATTGGCTCTTGGTAATCCTGTTGTGATTAAGGATAGATGAATATTTTCCTTAGTACAATAATCAGCAAATTCTTGAGAAGTAAATGCAGTACCTCTGTCAGCTACTATATTGCAGGGGTTTTCAAATAATGATTTTTGAATTTCAAGTTTAGCTATTACTTCTTTACTAGAATTGGTTTTAGTTGGATATAACCAAACAAATTTTGTAAACGAATCAATAACCGCAAAAATGTATTTATAATTCTTGTTAGAACTTTCTAAAGGTCCTAAATGGTCTATGTGGTAAGTGTTTAGAGGAATATCTTCTTTAGGTAAAGGGTGTAATAATCCTTCCTTCTTTCCAGATTTCCGGTTGGCCAGTATACAGGTAATACAATTTGCGATACATTTTTCAATTTTCTCTTTCAATTTAGGGATATAAAAATGTTGTCTCACACGTTCTTCAGTATGTTTGGCAGCAAAATGATCTCGTTCATGTGCGTCTTTAATTACTTCAATTTGCATAATCTCAGGTACTACTAGTGCTTCAATTCCATTCACCATTTTGTAAAGCACGTCATTCCACAAACAATAATCTTCATATGGCTTAGACTTCAAAACTTCTTTCTATAACTTTTATATTTTCATTAATTTCTTGAGCTTGAATTATTTTAAATGTTATACCAATCTTGAATTACCCATACATACAGGATTTCGACTAAGAGCATCCACATGTCCCATACGGGTGCCAGATCTGTGTTCGATTGTGTAATCAATAATCTTGTAACATTAATGCCCATCTAGATATTTAAGTACAAATGTCTTTCTTGCTCATAGTTTGTTTGAATGCATTACAATCTGTCACGATTTTAAACTGGTATTGCCTAATATGTACACCCTGAATTTTTTTAAGAGCTTCTACAACTGCTTTAACCCTCTAATTCATAGCTCGAATATTTACGTTCAATGTCTGTCGTTTTTTACTCATATAATAAACCGGATGCATCTGATTATCAATTAAGGATTTCTGTAACAGAACCGCACCATAATCGTCAGCACTAGCATCAGTGTGTGTTTCGGTTTCTGCTTTCGGATTATAAATACACAAAACAGGTTCTGATGTCAAGATGCGTTTCAATTCGTTAAAAGCATAAAGTTCTTTAGTTTCAAATTTAAATTTAGAATCTTTCTTTAGTAAATCACTAAGCGGTTTTGCAATTAATGAATAATTAGGTATAAATTTTCTGAAGTAACCAGTTAAACCTAAATAACTTTGAACATCTTTTACACATTTAGGTTATGGAAAGTTAATTACTGCTTTCGTTTTAGAAGAAGAAGGATATAATTTCCCATCTTTAATTTTGTGTCCTAAAAATTCGATTTCGCACTTCAAAAATTGACATTTCTTAATGTTTAGTTCTATTCCATATTCCGATGCAGTCTGTAATACGCGTTTCAATTTTTTATTTCCCTGGGCTTCATTTTCGGAAGGAATAATGATGTCGTCCATATAGATTACAACAATATTGTCCTTTAAAAGATCACGAAAATATATCGTAGATGTTATCTTTGGAAAAACACTTGGGCTGTTGGCAAGACCAAACAAGGACTTTCAGAAAATTCATACTGTCCGTTTTGTGTCATGAAAGAATGTGTATTTTCTTACTTTCTTCGTCCACTTCAACATGAAAAAAAAAGTTCTTTTAAATCTAGTGTTGTAAATACCATTGCTGCTTGTAATTTATCAATAACATCATCAATTAATGGCAGAGGAAAGGGATCGTGAATTAATTTTTTATTCAGGCGCCGATAAATCTACGGCAAAGTCTCCAATGAGCCAACATTTTTTTTTCTACTTAGCAGGATATTACTTGCGTAATCAGAACAGCTTTGGTTTAATGATTTGTTTCTCCAACCACTCCAAAATCTGTTTATCAATTTCATGCTGCTCAGGGGGGGGAAAAGCGTCAGCTGCAGCGAGCAATAAACCGGAAGTTGATCTGTCAGCACTATTCGCATCTTCAGGCCAGATGTTTCCATTGTTATTCAGGCTCATAATTCCATTACTAAGTGTAGTATTTCACCCCTCTATGTACTCCGTCTTTGATATGACTCAAATCAATTTCCTCGTCATTATAAATATCAGGAATGCACATCCAAATAGTTTTCAGGTTGCAATTTCTAATTTCGACTCCTTTTTTATTTACAGTTAATTTCCCCTTGCCTTATAATATCAGTACCAATGATCGCTTGTAAAAATATTTCGTTTTCTGCGAATAACACAAATATTTGATCGAAATAAAGAACCATCGATTTCGAATTCATCATCAAATTTTCCTATAGACTTAATTTTTCCCATTACCAAACCCCGTTAACTGTTAGATCTGTTGACTTAAGTTCAGGAGAATCTATCTTCTTATATATATCTTCTCGGATTAGCGTTACTTGACTACCCCAGTATCTATTAAAGCATCAATTTGCAAAATTACCCAAATTAACAGTTTTATTTC